TCCAGACCAGCCATGCAGGAGGGCACTGTACTGCACCAGGGTGTTTGCTCATAGCAAGAGGAAGCTGTTCCCAAATGCTTGGGAAGTAGCAAGTGCAAAGCAGTTGGTGTTCAGCTCTCCTGTAGCTCCCATGATGAGAGCAAGGATGTGATGGGAATGTGTTTCACTGTCTTCAGACTTCTGCTAAAGCAGGGCTCAGTCTGGAGTGGGAGTAGGTGAGGTGCTCTGGGTGCCCTGTGTCTGTCCTGTGGTCCCAGCATGTGGTGGATCTCACCGCATGGCTTTGCTGGCTGCCAGTCAGAACTGACCTGCTGCTGTCTTTGCTGAATGTGACTTCCCTGCCAGGAAGCTCTGGACACAGGGTGCCTGCTCCCCCCTTCCCTCCCCTGCCCAGACCAGCTCTTGTCCCATTTGCAGTCCTGAGCCAGGACAAGCAGCAGGTGCCTGTTGTGGAGACTTGCTGCTTAATGCCGTGGCTGTAACCAGAGCTGGGAGGAGATGTGGCCAGAAAGCCCATCCATAGACCTCTGGGACATGACAGCTCAGCATCAGCGAAGCCTGTCAGTGATACTGGCCTCCTTCATGCATTTCAAAAACCAGTACAAAAATGGATGTGGTGAGAGCATAAGGAAGTGGAGCAGTGGTACATGGTGGAGGAGAGCAGAAGGAATAAGAAATACCAACATGCCTTCTGAACATTAGTGGAGAGCAAAGCAGCAGCTGCATGCTTTGGGCTGGATGGCCAGGAGGGCAGGTAGAATGCCTCAATGCATGCTTTTGTAGAGGTCCCTATTGCTGCTTATATTTTGTTCTAGTCTGTTGCTAATCTTGTTCAGCAGTTGCTTCTCTTAATTACTGAAGTACTTTTACAGAGATGTAGCAGATTAATCCTTTTAGTTCTGCTTGTTGCCAGAAGAAATTGTCACCAGTATTCTCATGCTCTGGAAGGAGAGGTTGGAGCAGGGCTAAATTCAGCCTGCTGCTCTGTTAGGTTTATGGCAACAGGTACTAGTAAGAATGCATAGGCAGGGGTGAGGCTGGGACAGTTTGGTTTGGAGGGTGCAGACTGCAGGGTCTCAAGGGTGCTGCTGCCACACAGTGACCTGTGTGTGGGACCTCTGCAGCCCCTTGGCACCTGGTTCCAGCAGGGAGGGCAGCTGTGCAGGCATCATTTATCTCATCCTTGCCTCACTGGAACACAAATATTAACTGACAAACAGTTTCATAATAAACAGCACAATTGCTTTGGCCTGTTGACTTCTCTTCCAGCAAAAGAAATAAACAGGGGACAGTAGAAAAGTTAACTTATAAACCAATTGCACTTGCATTAGTGTAGCCTGAGGCTTTTCATGATGACTGCTGGGCTCATGTCTCCCAGAAACTCAACTTGGAGGAAACAAAAACATTTACTTGTTCAATATACAGGACAATGAGTGCTATAGGTGCTGTGGTGTAACATGCATGCAGCTGATTCCAGTGGTACACAACCTTTTTATTGCCTGTTCTCCTCAGAACAGTTTTGAAGCATCACCTAGCTCTGTCCACAGGAGCCTAGTAATTTCCTAGTGCAGAAGTGTCTGAGGGTAAAAGCTCCTCTGTCTGTGTTTACTAAAAGGTATCCAGAGTGGAAATATAAATCTACCAGAGCAGATCTTATGTATGTGCAGGGTTGCCTGAGTTACCTCATCAGAAATGTTAATCATAGAATCAACTAGGTTGGAAAAGACCTTTAAAGATCATCAAGTACAACCATTATCTCAGGACTGCCAAGACCACCACTCAACCATATCACTGAGGGCCTCATCTACATGGTTTTTGAAAGCTTCCAGGGCTGGTGATTCCACCACTTCCCTGGGCAGCCTGTTCCAATACCTGGGCACCCTCTCTGTGAAGAAGTTTTTCATAATATCCAATCTAAACCTCCCCTGGTGCAGCTTGAGGCCGTTACATCTTGTCCTATCACTTGTTACTTGGGAGAAGAGACCGACCCACACCTCACTACAATCTCCTTTCAGGTAGTTGTAGAGAGCAATAAGGTCTCCCCTGAGCCTTCTCTTTTCCAGACTAAACCCCTGTTCCCTCAGCTACTCCTCCTAAGACTTGTGCTCCAGACCTTTCACCAGCTTTGTTGCCCTTCTCTAAACATGCTTCAGCACCTCAGTGTCTTTCTTATAGTGAGTGGCCCAGAACTGAACACAGTACTTGAGGTGTGGCCTCACCAGTGCTGAGTACAGGGGGATGATCACTTCCCTGGCTCTGCTGGCTACGCTATGGCCAGGATGCCATTGGCCTTCTTGGCTGCCTGGGTGTACTGCAGGCTCATGTTCAACTGGCTGTCAATCAGCACCCCCAGGTCTCCTTCCTCTGAGCAGCTTTCCATCCACTCTTCCCCAAGCCTGGAGCATTGCATGGGGTTGTTGTGGCCCAAATTCAAGACCCAGCACTTTGCCTTACTGAACCTCATAAAATTGCCTACAGCCTATCAATCCAGACTGTCCAGATCCCTCTGCAGAGCCTTCCTATCTTTCAGTAGGTCAGTGCTCCCAGATAACTTTGTGTCTGCAAAGTTACTAAGGGTGCACTCAATCCCCTCATCTAGATCATCAATGAAGATATTAAATAACACTGGCCCTAACACTGCGCTCTGAGAGACACCACTAGTGACTGGTCACCAACTAGATGTGATGCCGTTTACCACCACTCTTTGAGCTCAGCCATCAAGCCAGTTTCTAACCCAGCAAAGAATCCTCCTATCCAGTCCATGAGCAGCCAATTTGCCCAGGAGAATGCTGTGGGAGACAGTGTGAAATGCTTTACTTAAGTCCAAATAGACAATGTCCACAGCCGTTCCCTCATCAACCAGGTTGGTCATCTTATCATAGAAGGAGATCTGGTTGGTCAAGCAGGACCTGCCCTTCATTAACCCATGCTGACTGGGCCTGATCCCTCTGTTTTCCCACACATGCTTTATGATTTCACTTAAGATCAACTGCTCCATGACCTTCCCTGGCACTGAGGTCAGGCTGACAGGCCTGTAGTTCCCAGGGTCTTCCTTCCTGCCCTTTTTGTAGAGAGGCATCACATTGGCCAACCTCCAATCCCCTAGGACCTGCCCACTAGACCAGGACTGCTGATAGAGAGTGGCTTAGCAAGCTCCTCTGCCAGCTCCTTCAGTACTCTTGGGTGTAACCCATCCAGCCCCATAGACTTGTGTATATCTAAGTGAAGCAGGAGATTGCTAACAATTTCTTCCTGAATTATGGGGACTCTAATCAACTCCCCATCTCTGCCATCCAACTCGGGGAACTGAGTACCCTGAGGATGGCTGGTGTGACTGTTGAAGACTGAGGCAAAAGCAGCATTAAGTACCTCAGCCTTTTCCTCATCCTCAGTCACTAGGTTTCCCCTAGTATCCAGTAGAGAATGGAGGTTCTTCTTGGCCCTCCTTTTATTGATAATATATTTGAAAAAGTACTTTTTATTATCTTTTATGGCAGTGGCCAGATTTAGTTCCATCTGTGCCTTTGCCTTTCTAACTTTCTCTCTATACAACCTATCAACATCCTTATACTTTTCATGGGGTAACTGTCCCTTCTTCCACAGGTGATAAATTCTCTATTTTTTTTTCCCTGAGTTCTAGCACTATCTCCCTGTTCAGCCAGGCTGGTCTTCCCTGCTGGTTTGATTTTTGGCACATAGGGACCGCCCACTCTTGTGCCTTAAGGATTTTATTCTTGAAGAGTGTCCAGCCTCCCTGGACCCCTTTGTCCTTTAGTAATGTTTCCCAAGGAAATCTGCCAACCAGCATCCTAAACAGGCCAAAGTCTCTGGAGGTCTAAGGTGCAGGTTTTTCTGACCACCTTCTTGACTTCTCCAAGGATTAAAAATTCAGTCATTTTGTGATCGCTTTGCTTAAGACAGCCTCCAACCATCACATCACCTTCTCTGTTTGTGAACAGCAAATCTAGCCAGGCATCTCCCCTAGTTGGCTCACTAACCATCTGGGTTAGGAAGTTATCTTCCACATCCTCCAAGAACCTCCTGGATTGTTTCTTCTCTGCTGTGCTGTACTTCCAGCAGACATCTGGTAGGTTGAAGTCCCCCACGAGAACAAGGGCAAGCAATCATGAAACTTCTCCCAGTTGTCTGAAGAGCACTTCATCTGAAGCTTCATCCTGGCTAGGGGGTCTATAACAGACTCATACCAGGATATCATCTTGGTTGGCCTTCCCCCTGGGTCTTCACCCACAAACATTCAGCCTTCTTACAACATTAAGTTCAAGGCAGTCGATGCACTCCCTGACATACAACACAATCCCACCACCTCTTTTTCCTTGCCTTTCCCTTCTGAAGAGCCTGTAGCCATCCATTGCAGCACTCCAATTACATGAATCATTCCACCATATTTCTGTGATGACAATTATGTCATGATTCCCCTGATGCACAATAGCTTCCAGCTTCTCCTGTTTGTTGCACATGCAGCAGGCATTGGCATAGATGCATTTAAGTTGCCCTGTGGATCTGGACTCCAACAACAGCATGCTACCCCATGGCTCATGTCTAGTGAGCCTGGTGCTATACCACTTCCCCCTTCAAACCTAGTTTAAAGCTCTGTCTATGAGCCCCGCTAGCTCCTAGGCTAGAATCCTTTTCCCCTTTTGGGACAAGTGTACCCCATTTGCCACCAGCAGGCCTGATGCTGTATAAATTGACCCATGGTCAAAACCTCCAAATTTCTGGCACTGACACCAGTCATGGAGCCAGGAATTAATTAATGCAATTTTCTGATGTAACCATTGTCATTGTTTGTAGTTGGCAAGAGGGACGAGAACACTGCTTGGGCTTCCAAACCCTGAACCAATCACCCCAAGGCCCTGAAATCCTTCTTGAAGGGATTTCTCCATTGCCTACCTGGAAAACTAATAAAGGATAGTGGTCACAGGGCTGTACCAGATGAGTGAGTTTTCTGGTTGTGAAATACGAGCTCACTCCTCTAATTGAGATAACAGGGTTTTATTGAGGGATCAAGTCAATAAAGCAAAAGCAACATCGCTGGGAGCATGACCATAGCCAGAGGTGCACTGATTAGCATTTGTTACAGGTTTATATACTTTCACTATTGCATTAGCCATATATATATTCATAATTCCTGCATATAGGCGGGGAATATTATAACAAGCTCCAGGAACTTATTATCATAAGTCTCCTCCTCTTGGAGTCTGCACACTGATCTCCGGTGATCATGGGCAGGGGTCTTGAGGGTGAAGTAAGCAGTCTTCCTCATACGGGCAGGGGTCTTCAAGATGAAGTAAGCAGTCTTCCTCACAGTGTACTTTTCACCTTTAGCACAGTTGGATGCCCCAGTAATCACAAAACTAGCTGAAACCAGCCATATCTGTAATTTTTCTGATAGCTGGCAAAGATGTAGAACAGTGTGACCTTTGTACAAAATTTATTGCAAACAAAACAGGACAGACAGACAAGGAGTATCCAAAACTAGCAGATGTTCGGGAGGCACTGTCTCCAAACTAACTGATAAGTAGAAGGATGGTGTGAAATAATTCACTCATGTTTAGTGGGGCCACTAAATCCTGTTATCTCACCACAGACTTACAACACAAACATTGTTCTTTATCTTCAACTTAAGTTAAGCTAAAAGAACTTTAACCCTATGTTTTCCAGGCACTAGCTTTCCTCATATCAAGCCCTCCCCTCCCCCTTTTCTTTTACCTTTACAAATTCTTTTGCTATGTGACTCCATTTTGCTCAAGAGTTCTGGCCATTTTCAACTTGTTGTCTAATCTTGTGTCCTTGGAGAGCTTTTTTTCTGTTATTGCAAACTCATACAGTTATGTCCACATAGCAACACCTATGATTTGGGAAAGCCAATACATTTATGTGTTTATCACATGGTGAAGTCCCTTACCCTAGCTCCCTGGAGACAGCAGACTTCTCTGTGAGTTTGGTCAGGCTGACATATGGGGCCCTTTGTTCCCCTTAGAGTGGAGTCACCAATCACCACCACTCAAAAAGATTTTTTCTTTCTTTTTGTACAGCTGGTCATAAAATGAGGTGATCTCCAGTTTCTCTGTGAGAACTCCTCTAAACTGGATGATCCCTTGTCATCATCTTCCCCACTTTCCTGATCCTGAAGTACCAGGGCCTCATATCTATTGTAAGGGAGTACTTGTGAAAGTAACGCAAGCTGGGAGGTAATAAGCCATCTACTCTGAGGAGTAACCCCTTTCCAACCTCCCATATTTCCTAGGTTCCTTCCCTATGCCTGATGGCAAGAAGGTAGGGGATCCTCAAGTTCTTTTGTTTTGGGTAGCTGGCTTGCTACTCTCAAGGGTGGTAGAGTGCAGGTCCATCAGTTAATCTCTTCCTCATGTTCCCTTATGCTCCTTAGCCATTCCACTTCTTCCCGTAGCTCTGCCACCACACAGAGTAAACCATCAATCTTCTGACATCTTACACAGCCACCATCTAACATCACCAACAGGCTCTGGTACTCACTACAGCCAGATGCCTGGACTGTTACATGTTTGTAAGGGACCTCCAGCTGAGTTTGGACTGTGAACTGGCTGAAGGAGAGAAGCCAGAGAGTTGTAGTCTATGGGGCGGAGTCTAGTTGGAAGCCTGTATCTAGTGGAGTGCCTCAAGGGTTGGTACTGGGACCAGTATTATTTAATATATTCATCAATGATTTAGATGAGGGAATTGAGTGTACTATCAGCAAGTTTGCTGATGACACTAAGCTGGGAGGAGTGGCTGACACGCCAGAAGGCTGTGCTGCCATCCAGCGAGACCTGGACAGGCTGGAGAGTTGGGCGGGGAATAACTTGATGAAATATAACAAGGGAAAGTGTAGAGTCCTGCATCTGGGCAGGAACAACCCCAGGTTCCAGTATAGATTGGGGAATGACCTGTTAGAGAGCAGTGTAGGGGAGAGGGACCTGGGGGTCCTGGTGGACGACAGGGTGACCATGAGCCGACACTGTGCCCTTGTGGCCAAGAAGGCCAATGGCATCCTGGGTTGTATTAGAAGGGGGGTGGTTAGTAGGTCGAGAGAGGTCCTCCTTCCCCTCTACTCGGCCCTGGTGAGACCCCATCTGGAATATTGTGTCCAGTTCTGGGCCCCTCAGTTTAAGAAGGACAGGTACCTGCTGGAGAGAGTCCAGCGCAGGGCAACTAAAATGATTAAGGGAGTGGAGCATCTCCCTTATGAGGAAAGACTGAGGGAGCTGGGTCTCTATAGTTTGGAGAAGAGAGGACTGAGGGGTGACCTTATTAGTGTATATAAATATATAAAGGGGGAGTGTCACGAGGATGGAGCCAGGCTCTTCTCAGTGGCCAACAATGATAGGACAAGGGGAAATGGGTACAAACTGGAACACAAGAGGTTCCACTTAAACTTGAGAAGAAACTTCCTCTCAGTGAGGGTGACGGAACACTGGAACAGGCTGCCCAGGGAGGTTGTGGAGTCTCCTTCTCTGGAGACATTCAAAACCTGCCTGGACACGTTCCTGTGTAAACTTATCTAGTTGTTCCTGCTCCGGCAGGGGGATTGGACTAGATGATCTTTTGAGGTCCCTTCCAATCTCTAACACACTGTGATACTGTGATACTGTGAGTTGCTATGTCCTTCCTGGCCAGCAGAGAAAACTTAGTTTTCTTTGCTTTCTGTCGAGAGGATGCCATCTTAGAGCACTTTCTCGATGATCTTCAGATAATCTTACCTATGCAGCCTGCCGGGCTACTGGGCTTTTACCACTCACCCTGTCTGCTCAAACTGCTGCGACACGCTCCCAAGGGCGATGGTAAAACACCCCTCAGGGGTGGTGCTATCCCTCCTGGCACTGCCCACTATGAGTCAGCTGCTCGCGTCAGCTGAGCTGCCGGCTCCTGAGCTATAGTGGTTTAAACCCAGCAGGTAACTCAGAACTATGCAGTCGCTCGCTTACTCCCTTCTCCCCTCGCTGCCAGCGGGATGGGGAGGAGAAAAAAAAATCCCACTGATTGAGAAAAGAACAGTCCAGTAACTAAGGTATAATACAAAACTACTACTGCTACCACCAATAATAATAATGATAAGGAAAATAACAAGGGGAGAGAATATAAAGCTAAAAAGGGGAAGGAAAAAAAACCCAATAAACACAAGTGATGCCCAATACAATTGCTCACCACCCACCAACTGATACCCAGCCTGACCTGACCAGCAATATGCCCTTCCAGGTGACTTCCCCCAGTTTATATACTGGGCATGACGTGCTGTGATATGGAATACCTCTTTGTCTAGTGCCGTGGTTTAAGCCCATCTGACACCCCAGAACCACACAGCCGCTCGCTCGCTCCCCCACCTTCCTCCCGCCACTCCCAGAGGGATGGGGAGGAGAATCGAAAGAATGTAACTCCCATGGGTTGAGATAAGAACAGTCCAGTAACTAAGGTATAACACAAAACCACTACTGCTGCCACCATTAATAATAATGATAAGGGGAATAACAAGGTGTCGTGGTTTAAACCCAGCCAGACAGCTCGTCCACTCACTCCCAGTGAGTGGTGCCAGGCTGAAAGCAGTTGAGGCCCGCGTTCCCTCCGGGGGCTCCCTCCTTCCCCCCTCCGGGAGGGATGGTGAGGAGAATCGAAAAGAATGCAACTCCCACAGGTTGAGACAAGAACAGTCCAGCAACCAATGCACAAGACAAATCACCACCACTACCACCAACGGCAACAATGATGAGAGAAAATAACAAGGGAAGAGAATAAAATACCACCCGCTGAAAATCGAGCCTGACCCAGAAGACCCCATGTCCTTCCGGGTACTCTCAGTTACCTCCTGGGCATGACGTGCTATGGTATGGAATACCTCTTTGGTCAGTTTGGGTCAGGTGTCCTGTCTCTGCTTCCTCCCGGCTTCCCCTCCTCCCTGGCAGAGCATGAGGCTTACAAAATCCTTGGCCAAACCAAAACATCATTGTTATCGGCTCTGTTCCCAGCCCGAAAGTCAAAACACAGCACTGCACCAGCTACCAAGAAGGAGAAAAATGACTGCTACTGCTAAACCCAGGACATTATCCACCCCTTATTCTATACCATTCACGTCATGCTCAGATCCCACATTTTCAATATACCATCACTCTTATCTCAGTGCACTCTTATCTTAGTGCATGGACCAGTCCCTATAATGCTGCTGAGTCCATCTGGTCCATGATGTCAGGCTCCATCTCTTGTAACAGTCTTTCAGATCAGGAGAAGCTCTGTGCAGTGTTGGATGGTTGCCTGCTGATGCTGATCGTTCCTTTACTGCAGAAGTCGTCTGGTTCTATCAAAGTTCATTCTCTGTTGGGATGATGGTTGAAGGGAAGTCAGGGCTAGTCGCTGGTGACGTGAAGACATCTGGTTGATGTCCTATAAAAGTATTACACAGCAGGCAACAGCATACTATTAAGTTCATTGGCTGTTTTCCCCTAAAATCAAATCCCCTTGAGGTATACATCAGACTTACCCATCTTCCCGCATTACCCACCAAGTATATCCAGGTTCCTGAGCAAAAGCAATCCCACAAGTGGGTTTGCCTTTACCTGAAGCAGGAATAACCCAGACTGTCTTCCCCAGCAACTTCTTCATATGAAACACAGGAACTTTGTCCCCCTCTACAATATATAGAAGTTCTGATTGGGCTGGGCCGGCCCTGTTGGCAGATCCTCTGGTGTTGACCAACCAGGTGGCCTTTGATAAGTGTGTATCCCAATGCTTGAAAGTTCCCCCACCCATTGCTCTCAGTGTAGTTTTTAACAGCCCATTGTACCTTTTGATTTTCCCAGAGGCTGGTGCATGGTAGGGGATGTGATATACCCACTCCATGCCATGCTCTTTGGCCCAAGTGTCTATAAGGTTGTTCCAGAAGTGTGTCCCATTGTCTGACTCAATTCTCTCTGGGGTGCTGTGTTGCCACAAAATGTGTTTCTCAAGGCCCAGGATAGTGTTCCGGGCAGTGGAGTGGGGCACAGTGTATGTTTCCATCCATCTGGTGGTTGCTTCCACCATGGTAAGCACATAGCGCTTGCCTTGGTGGGTTGGTGGGAGTGTAGTATAATCAATCTGCCAGGCCTCCCTATATTTATACTTCAGCCATCGTCCTCCATACCAAAGAGGATTTAACTGATTGGCTTGTTTAATTGCAGCACGTTTCACACTCATGAATAACCTGGGCAATAGTGTCCATTGTTAAGTCCACCCCTGGATCACGAGCCCATCTATATGTTGCATCTCTACCCTGATGTCCTGAAGTGTCATGGGCCCACCAGGTTCCGTTGAAGCGCTGGAGGGAAGGAACGTCATCCAGAAGGATCTTGACGCGTTTGTGAGGTGGGCTGATGCCAGCCTTATGAAGTTTAACCATTCCAAGTGAAAGGTTCTATACCTGGGCCAGAGGAATCCCAGGCACAGCTACAGGTTGGGCAGAGAAGAGATTCAGAGCAGCCCTATGGAGAAGGACTTCGGGGTGTTGGTTGATGAGAAAATGAACATGAGCCAGCAGTGTGTGCTCGCATCCCAGAAAGCCAACCGTATCCTGAGTTGCGTCAAAGGGAGTGTGACCAGCAGGTCGAAGGAGGTGATCCTGCCCCTCTATTCTGCTCTCGTGAGACCTCACTTGGAGTATTGTGCCCAGTTCTGATGTCCTCAACATAAAAAGGACATGGAACTGTTGGAACAAGTCCAGAGGAGGGCCACGATGATGATCAGGGCACTGGAGCACCTCCCATATGAAGACAGGGTGAGAATGTTGGGGCTTTTCAACCTGGATAAGAGAAGGCTGCGTAGAGACCTCATAGCAGCCTTCCAGTATCTGAAGGGGGCCTATAAGGATGCTGGGGAGGGACTCTTCACTAGGGACTGTAGTGATGGGACAAGG